CGTATCTTGGGTCACACATCAAGACTTGGTAAATTTAAGAAAATTGAAATCGTATCAAGTATCTTTTCTAACCACAACACTATGAAAGAAGATATCAATTACAGGAAAAAATATGTAAAGAATACAAACAGATGGAGGCTAAACAATACGCTATTAAATAACCAAGAGATCACGAAGAAATCAAAGAGGAAATCAAAAAACACCTAGAAAAATATGACAATGAAAACACGATGACCCAAAACCTATGTGAAGCAGCAAAAGCAGTTCTAAGAGGGAAGTTTATAGCAACACAATCCTACCTCGAGGAAAAAGAAAAACCTCAAATAAACAACCTAACTTTACACCTTAAGCAATTAGAGAAAGAAGAACAAAAAAAACCCAAAGCTAGCAGAAGGAAAGAACTGATAAAGATCAGACCAGAAATAAATGAAAAAGAAATGAAGGAAACAATAGCAAGGATCAATAAAACGTAAAACTGGTTCTTTGAGAAGATAAACAAAATTGATAAACCATTAGCAAGACTCATCAAGAAAAAAGGGAGAAGACTCAAATCAATAGAATTAGAAATGAAAAAAGAGAAGTAACAACTGACACTGCAGAAATACAAAGGATCATGAGAGATTACTGAAAACAACTATATACCAATAAAATGGAAAACCTGGAAGAAATGGACAAATTCTTAGAAAAGTATAACCTTCCAAGACTGAACCAAGAAGAAACAGAAAATATAAACAGACCAATCTCAAGCACTGAAATTGAAATTAAAAATCTTCCAACAAACAAAAGCCCAGGACCAGATGGCTTCACAAGCGAATTCTAACATTTACACAAGAGCTAACACCTATCCTTCTCAAACTCTTCCAAAATATAACAGAGGGAGGAACACCCCCAAACTCATTCTATAAGGCCACCATCACCCTGATACGAAAATCAGACAAAGATGTCACAAACAAGAAAACTACAGGCCAATATCACTAATGAACACACATGCAAAAATCCTCAACAAAATACTAGCAAACAGAAACCAACAGCATATTGAAAGGATCATACACCATGATCAAGTGGGGTTTACCCCAGGAAAGCAAGGATTCTTCAATATATGCAAATCAATCAATGTGATAAACTGTATTAACAAATTGAAGGAGAAAAACCATATGATCATCTCAATAGACGCAGAAAAAGCTTTTGACAAAATTCAACCCATTTATGATAAAAACTCTCCAGAAAGTAGGCATAGAGGGAACCTACCTCAACATACTAAAGGCCATATATGACAAACCCACAGCCAACATCGTTCTCAATGGTGAAAAACTGAAACCATTTCCACTAAGATCAGGAACAACAAGGTTGCCCACTCTCACCACTATTATTCTACATAGTTTTGGAAGTTTTAGCCACAGCAATCAGAGAAGAAAAATAAGTAAAAGGAATCCAAATCGGAAAAGAAGAAGTAAAACTGTCACTGTTTGCAGATGACATGATACTATACATAGAGAATCCTAAAGATGCTACCAGAAAACTACTAGAGCTAATCAATGAATCTGGTAAAGTAGCAGGATACAAGATTAATGCACAGAAATCTCTGGCATTCCTATACACTAATGATGAAAAATCTGAAAGAGAAATAAGGAAACATTCCCATTTACCACTACAACAAAAAGAATAAAATATCTAGGAATAAACCTACCTAAGAAGACAGAAGATCTGTATGCAGAAAACTATAAGACACTGATGAAAGAAATTAAAGATGATACAAACAGATGCAGAGATATACCATGTTCTTGGATTGGAAGAATCAACATTGTGAAAATGACTATACTACCCAAAGCAATCTACAGATTCAATTGCAATTCCTATCAAACTACCAATGGCATCTTTCACAGAACTATAACAAAAAATTTCACTATTTGTATGGAAACACAAAAGACCCTGAATAGACAAAGCAATTTTGAGAAAGAAAAGCAGAGCTGGAGGAATCAGGCTCCCTGACTTCAGACTATACTACAAACCTACACTAATCAAGAAAGTATGGTACTGGCACAAAGACAGAAATATATATCAATGGAACAGGATAGAAAGCCCAGAGATAAACCCACACACATATGGTCACTTATTTTTGATAAAGGAGGCAAGAATATACAATGGAGAAAAGACAGCCTCTCCAATAATTGGTGCTGGGAAAACTGGACAGCTACATGTAAAAGAATGAAATTAGAACACTCCCTAACACCATACACAAAAATAAACTCAAAATGGCTTAAAGCCCTAAATGTAAGGCCAGATACTGTAAAACTCTTAGAGGAAAACATAGGCAGAACACTCTTTGACATAAATCACAGCAAGATTCTTTTTGACCTACCCCCTAGAGAAATGGAAATAAAAACAAAACTAAACAAATGGGACCTAATGAACCCTATAAGCTTTTGCACAGCAAAGGACATCATAAACAAGACAAAAAGACAACCCTCAGAATGGGAGAAAATATTTGCAAATGAAGCAATGACAAAGGATTAATCTCCAAAATTTACAAGCAGCTCATGCAGCTCAACATCAAAAAAACAAACAACCCAATCCAAAAATGGGCAGAAGATATACAGACTGCCAACAAACACATGAAAGGATGCTCAACATCACTAATCATTAGAGAAATGCAAATCAAAACTACAGTGAGCTATTACCTCACACCAGTCAGAATGGCCATCATCAAAAAATTTACAACAATAAATGCTGGAGAGGATGTGGAGAAAAGTGAACTCTCTTGCACTGTTGGTGGGAATGTAAATTGATACAGCCACTATGGAGAACAGTATAGTTCTTAAAAACCTAAAAATAGAACTACCATACGACCCAGCAATCCCACTACTGGGCATATACCCTGAGAAAACCATAATTTAAAAAGAGTCATGTACCACAGTGTTCACTGCAGCTCTATTTACAATAGCCAGGACATGGAAGCAACCTAAGTGTCCATTGACAGATGAATGGATAAAGAAGATGTGGCACATATATGCAATGGAGTATTACTCAGCCATAAAAAGAAACGAAATTGAGTTATTTGTAGTGAGGTGGATGGACCTAGAGACTGTCATATAGAGTTAAGTCAGTCAGAAAGAGAAAAACAAATACCATATGATAACACATATATATACAATCTTAAAAAAAAAAAAGGTTCTGAAGAACCTAGGGGCAGGACAGGAATAAAGACATAGATGTAGAGAATGGACTTGAAGACACAGGGAGGGGGAAGTGTAAGCTGGGACGAAGTTAGAAAGTGGCATGGACATAGATACACTACCAAATGTAAAATAGATAGCTAGTGGAAAGCAGCCGCATAGCACAGGGAGATCAGCTTGGGCTTTGTGTCCACCTAGAGTCGTTGGCTAGGGAGGGTGGGAGGGAGACTCAAGAGGGAGGTGATATGGGGATATATGTATACGTATAGCTGATTCACTTTGTTATACAGCAGAAACTAACACACCATTGTAAAGCAATTATACTCCAACAGAGATGTTAAAAAAAATAAAAATAATAGGTAATAGCTAAATTCATAAGCCCTAAGAATTTGAGATGAGGTAATAAATTTAATTGAAAGCATACAAATTGTCATCAAAAATTGTAGCATAGTCAGACAGAAAAAGACAAACATCGTATGATATCACTTATATGTGGAATCTAAAAAAATGATACAAATGAACTTCCTTACAAAACAGAAACAGACTCACAGATTTAGAAAACACAATTACTGTTACCGAAAGGGAAACGGGGGTGGGGGGAGAGATAAATTAGGAATTTGGGATTAACATATACACACACTACAATATATAAAATAGATAACCAACAAGGACTTATTTTATAGCTCAGGGAACTCTACTCAATATCCTGTAATAACCTGAATGGGAAAAGAATCTGGACAAGAATAGATATATGTATATGTATAACTGAATCACTTTGCTGTATACCTGAAACTGACACCACATTGTAAATCAACTATACTCCAATATAAAATGAAAATTTTAAAAATTTAAAAATAAATTAATAAAAAAATAAGAACACATTTTAAAATTTCTTCCATTTAAGAAAAGAAAGAGCATAACTCTAAAATCAGGAAGCTAACAAGATTAAAGTTCGATAACCTACAGCAAAAGAACACTGGTTCCTCTAAAGAAGGGTGGATCACTACCAGTATGCTGAATGCAAAATATAATATCTCATTATTGGTCTTTACTATGTAGGGCTAAATAAGACAAAGGCTCAGGTCATTTCTTAAAGTAGGTTGAAAGGAAAGGGCATAGAGAAGTGAGGAGAAGGGAATCTAGTTTCATTGTCAGGAATAGTGAACTTTATGCAAAAAAAAAAGCCAAAATTCTCTATAAAATAATGTGGGGGATGAGGCAGGCCACCAGCACAAACGTATCTAATTTGATAAAAGGCGAAAGAAACTAACTTTGATTAAATATCTATCATGTATTATTTTAAGAAACAACATTCAGTTTATCTGAATATAGTCTTGTTTTCAAGAATGAATTTCACTGCCCTCTAAACAACTCCCTTTAAGTCTAACCATTTCTTCAGTCTCTATCCCATTGTCAGATGATTCTATCTGCATTTGTAGCATTAAGTAGACACTAACTACCGCTATGAAGTTACATTAAGAACTATTTGCTCTCAACTTTTTAAAGCATTTTGGACAGTCTTCCACCCTGAGAATTTTATAATGTTCATAGATAATATCAAAATGTGTCAATATCTCAGCAAAGTGTTTTTTTGATTCCTGTATATTTTTGTTTCATAAATGAAGTAGCATCATATTTTTAAAACTGACCCAGTGGCTCTGAGGGATAAAAAATGCCTCAGTCACTGGTATGATCAGTTGGCAATTGGCAGAATCATGAATACTTCAAGCAATACTTTCATGATTATAAATTATACTGAGATCTACAAGATTTGAGATACACAAGTTGTCTTCAGTACCAATGCTTTACATTTATTTTGATACTTACGTTATACTCAGACACGACTCCTTTATAAATTTCATAAAACTCTTCAACATTAACTCGATCCATGTTGAACTATATTTAAAAAAAAACCAAAAACATAAGCCAACCAACACAATAGAATGAGCTACACTTAGCACTCAATATTTATGATCTCTTGGATATATTTCCTTTAAAATGTAAACCTTGAACAAATTAAACAGTCTTTGAAGAAAAAGTGTTAAAGTTCAGATCATCAATAACAAATTATTGTTTATTAAAAATAAAAAATTATTTATAACATTTGAGTACTTAAATATATCAAGCATTGTTCTAGGTCCTGTAGGTACATCATCTCAGTTAATCGTAAAAATCACCCTACAAGGTAAGTAATGTTAATAGCCCCCATTTACAGATGAGGGGTTATGTAGCCTTCAGTACTTGGCATTCCATCTTAAGCAGTCTGATCTCACTGACCATACTCTCAACCACTACACTCTACCTCGCTGAATAAAACCTCATTCCTGGTAAAGAAACGACTTATGTATCTATACAATGTAATGTTGTTTATCGATAGATTAGTGGCACAAATAAGAAGCACAGGGAGATCAGCTCGATGCTTTGTGACGACCTAGAGGGGTGGGATAGGGAGGGTGGGAGGGAGGGGATATGGGGATATATTTATACATATAGCTGATTTGCTTTGTTGTACAGCAGAAACTAACACAACATTGTAAAGCAATTATACTCCAATAAAGATGTAAAAATAAATGAATAAATAAATTTAAAAAAATTTTTTAAAGAAATATTACTAAAGAAAAGTTCTTCAAATTTTGTAGAGGGGGCTGGAAATAATACCCTTTTCCTCCCAAGCATTCAGAAAAATCCCTAGTCTGTCTCATAATAAAGCACTGACACCATTCATCTGGAAATCCCACTCCTCTTCAAAAAGAATTGTCAGAATATGCTAATAAGGTAAACCTACATGAGTCATTCTTATCCAGGCTGGATTCAAGCTTAGAAATAAAATTTCATTAAGTTCTACCATCTCAAGAACCAGAACCTTAAATTTTTAAAAAATAGCCTCAGATTTCCCAATTTTGTTTTCCTCCCTACTTTGCTTCTTTACTGTTGCCAGGATTGAAGATCACTAAGAAGTTTCTGTCTACCAAGACAATAGTTCAAACTAGGAAGATTTATTTTCAAAGGCAACATAACTATTACAGGGAGGGAATTTTGTTTGATTTCAGTATATTATTTGATATTCATACAAATTCTTATATTACTAATACCATAAAATAATAACAGAAAATATAATTTATTAAATACTTAGTAACTTGTACTGGAAATTCTACAAAGTATTGTGTAGGGTTATTTCATTTATTCCATGAAATAATCCATTGAGGCAAATAATATTCTCATTGCCTAGCTGAGAAAACTGAAGATAAGAATGCTTAAAATCTGGCCAAGTTCACATACCTAGAAAGCAGAAGACACATGATTCAGAAATAGAGCTTTCTGATTCCAAAAATCACAACACGATTGCCACTAAACTACCATGCCTCCCCCATAAGTTCAATTGATTCTTTTTTTTTAATTTTTTTTTTTCACTGAGCACCTACTATGGACAATCACTATTCTAGGTTGTAGGCCTAGAGTTAGATCAATGATTAATTCTAAAATTTCCACAAGGATTACTACTTAAGGAGGCTTAGGTCCTATAACCCTGCAACTACATCACCAAGCTAATACTTTGAGAACGTTTTGGCTAACAATTTCATTATAGTCCTGGCTAAGATTCTTCAATTATTAACTTCCTCATCAGTCTCCAAGTTGTGCCTGATAACTCTGTAAACTAGCTGATATTTCTGATCTTTTCTCAGCTTATTAACGTTCCCACCAATCTGGGATACAAAATAGGCAGAACCTCAGTTAGTGTCCTGACCTCTGATCTTGGGTGATCCTAAGACTTCATAGAAATCAAAAGCAGTTCCTTTTCAGAAAAAGAGCAAATAAATTATATTGGTAAGAAAATTCTTTCCAAAACTGGCATTTCACTGTCATAATAATGCAAACTTTCTGGCCTTCAAAAGTTGTAAAATGTAAAGACAGACTAATTAAAGATGATTTTAAACCCTAAAACAACACTAAAAAAATTTTTAGAGGTATAAGTAATAAATCGATAGTGGAAATAAAATGGAATCATTAAAAAAATCCCTATTAATGCAAAAAAAAAGAGGAAAAATGAAACAAAAACAAAAAACAATTGTAAAATGTAAATTATTTGATTCCTATAATAATTTGTGCCCAATTTATCATCAAATGCACTGATAAGTATAGCACAAAGATACAGAAGGACTCTAGAAATTAATATTGTTTCTTCAGTGAAGGGTTTCCTAAAAATGTGCCAGCAGGGCAATTTTGAATGATTGTGGGCTCCGGAGATCCAGTGGTATGACTGCCAAGAGAGGGGCTGAAATGTGCTAACTCCAAAGAAGATCCTGAGGGAAACTCCAGAAACCAGCAAAGGTCCTGGGAAAAATCTGAATTGATTCTCTTCTTAGTCACAAATCCAGACAACAGAAAATTCATTATAGCTACTTAGCTTAATTCTATATTTTGTTTGGAGGAACTAAATGTATTGTTTCAGTCTGCATTTATTTTGCAACTAAAGTTCCAGGAATTACATAAACCTGCTTTATAAGCTTAAATTAGATGTACCATTAGAATATTAGTTCTCTTAGTGAGAGATTATATAGGTAAAGTCAGTTCAAAAATATTTTTTTACTATAAGGTTATCAAGTTCAACAAATATATCTTTTTATTTTTAATGCATTGAGTTCACAAGTACACAGAGAAAATTCAGTGTAAAAAATTTTCAAGCATACTTCAAAAAAAACCACAGTTCCTCAGTAAGTTATGACCCATTGCAAACTACCTACCATCTGCATAGCTGAAATTTCAAAACCTGCATCTCGGATAGCCATCAGAATCTTTCCCAGCAGTCCTGAAAATACAGAACAAATGGGTGCAAAAAATATAAAATTTCTAAGGCATTTTACTTTTAGAGAAATGCAAATTTTCTATATCAAATTACTTTGCTTACATTCTATAGGAAGGAATCACATATTTCTGAGGGAAACTAAACCCCTAATACTGTAATCCCATTTGATTCACTTAGTAAAGTGCTTCAGGAATACCAACAATGATCTTGAAGATTATGCAAAAAACTTTTAAGTTACTATTGCCTGTAAGGACCCTGAGGGCTAGTGATGTAAAGAATATGAAAATCAAACAATTAAAGTAATATTACCAAAAAAAATGAAATGTTCAAGTACCAGATACAGAAGGAGTTCACAGGAGCAGTTCGAAGAAGGAGAAATATCAAATTATAACTGAAGAGGGGAACAGAAGCTTCAAGGGGATATGAGAGCATGAACTGGCCCTTAAAGGCTATAGGTAGATGGCATTATATAGGGACAGAGGTATAAAATGAGACAAGGCATAATTCTGGGAAAAATGTGAATATGTGTACAGAATAGTAAGAAGTCAAAAAAGAAAAAGATAAAAAAGGAAAAGAGATTTAATCCAAATTGATAAAGGCCTTAGATAGCAACATGAGGAATTTGGTCTTTATCCCACGAATAGCAACATTTATAATGGTGTTTGTAGACTCTGGAGGTCTAGAACTGATTTTTTAGATTCCATTAGTCTTCTATAAAAATCTCCTAAGTTTCTTTTTTTCAAGTGAACTAAAATTCTCTCTCTCTCTCTCTCTCTCTCATACACACATACACACACACACACACACACACACACACACACACACACACACACACA